CCTCATTTGAAATGTGTGATTCCTTGCAGGTTGGCGAAGGAGAAGTTCCAGGCCTGTGAGTGAATTGGTGTTCTTTCTGGGTGCTCCTCCTCCTGCTGCCCCACAGCTTCTGGCTTCTCCATCAGTCCTTCGTGTTGATGCAGATGCTGGCACCATCAGTGATGGGGCTGGGACGTGGCAGTGATAGTCACAAAATGTGGCTGGTGGATGTGGATGATTTGGTCCTGGCTGGTCCCCATATGACCATGTGCCATATGTAACCCCCAAGTCAACATTGTGGTTCTTTCTCCTGCTTAGAGGACTGTGGGCTTCATGTCACAATGCTCTCATCTCATGTAGTTTATCCCTCCCCTGCACTGCACTTTCCTCTCCCCATGCAGCTAAGGGTCTGGGTTGAGGTGTGTGCCCTTGTTATAGGTTAGGGTGTTCTTGCATACTTGGTTCCTCTCTCTGCAGGGTCTGTCACTCTAGATCCAGATTCTGCTTATGCCAGCTTTGCCCTCTCTTCTGACAAGAAGATTCTGACCCTGAAGGACTCCTTTGAGGATGCAGGAGACACCTGCAGCATCCTGGGCCTTGAAGGCATCACATCAGGGCGCTGTTACTGGGAGGTGGAGGTCAAGAATGGAGACAGAAATGTGTGGACTCTGGGGGTCTGTAGGAGTGATGTGAACAGGAAAGTTGGTATAGAGAGACCCCAGAAAGGGGGTTTTGGACTGTAGGGCATTTTGATTCAGGATTTGTGCCTGTACAAGTAAAAACACTCTGCTATCTCTTAGGCAGCTTCCCCACAGGGTGGGGGTTTTCCTGGACTGGGATCAAGGGGACGTCTCCTTCTATGACATGATTGATGACTCTCACATCTTCTCCTTCCCTCCGGAGTCCTTCTCTGGGAAGCTCTTTCCCTATTTTGCATGTGTCTCAGGGACGTGTCCATGACCCTCTGCCCCTGGAGGCTGGGGCCCAGAAGCCCTCTGTGCCCATGAACAAGCCTCCTTCTCTGGGGAGCCTGAGGGCTCCTCAGGAGAGGGGATCCCCTCAGGCTCTGGTGTGGATGGGGTTCCCCCAGGGCTTGAAGCCCCCCTCCTTCCTAACTGTGAGGCTGTGTACCACTAGGGCCATATCACTGTCTCTGCTCCTCACGGAGGCTTTTCTTTGAGCTGAAGACTCCCTGGGCACAGCCTCTGAGTGAGCTGGGTGACGTAGTCTCAACCTCATGCTCTGAGGACAGACCCCTGGGGTGTGGCTGTGTGAGAAGTGAGTCCATGCCTTGTGCTCAGCAGAAGAAGAAAACATTGACTATTGTTTGTGATGGGGGAAAGGATGTCCTGAACAAACTCCACAAATAGGTTTTATGGACTCCACCCCCATTCCAGATCAAAGAGATCCAAGACACCAAAATCTCCAAATCCCATAATGTCCTCATCACTGAAGGGAGGGTTGCCGGAAACTGAGGGTGGAGTTAAGCAGCCAGTGTTGGTATGTAACCAGACATGTGAGCCTTGGGGGCTCTTGGCTTTTCGCCAGCTCTCAGCGTGCCATTGGATTCCAGGTCAGGGGAACTGGGGGACACATTCACCAAAATAATCCCTCTCTGAGTTTATCCCTCTCTGAATTCATCTCTTCTCCCTGAGTTATTCATTTCTTCATTTCCCTTCTTTTGTAAATAAACCCTTATTAACTTTTCGTGTGTGCCTGCAGTTCAGTCTTATTATAAGTACCTTGAGAGGTACTTATAATAAGACTGGTCCCCATATGGCCATGTGATATATGTAACCCCCAGTCAGCCTTGTGGTTCTTTCTCCTGCTTAGAAGACTGTGGCTTCATGTCACAATGCTCTCATCTCATATAGTTTATCCCTCCCCTGCACAATCCCTCCCCCATGCAGCTAAGGATCTGGAATGAGGTGTGTGCCACAGTCATCAGCCTGTTTCCTATCGATGCTGCCCTGTAACATTTGTAGTAGTTTCTGATAGGTTTGACTTTTACTATGGGAAGACAGTTTTAAATTCCATGGGGTTTCCATATAACTTGGATAAGAAAAAGGATGAGCACTGAATTACTATGAAGAATAAAATGGAGTTTTACTTTTATCTGAGTTTGTACAGAGCAATCTAAGGCTAAAATGGGGTCCCAGCTCTATTTTGGGGGATCAATATTCTGTGTCTGGAAAAGTTGGTCATGCAAAATTTCTAGGGAGATAACTGGCTGATGGATTTTTATGAGAAGAGTCTCATTTCTCCTCTTTATTTCCTATACTGGGATGGGTGACATACACCTATTTTTCTGAACCTCAGGAATTTCTGTTACCTGAAAAATGTGCTGTGTTAATTTAGGGGATTCAGAAGAAAGGTCTGGGTTCTTCTCTGTGTCAATACCAGGTACTGACTGGTGCCTGAATTGAGCAGCTGCCTGACTTGAGAGGTGACTAAGCAGAGCCCTTTCAGACACAGAGTGAGCCACAGAGAACTTTCACCTCCAGCATGGTTCAGTTATCAAAATATATTGCCCATTATTACTTCAAGTTCAAAGTGAAAATCATGGAAAAGCACAGCCAAAGAAGGGCAGGACTAGCAAGGACTCAGACCTTCAGAAGTGAAGGTGTGTTTGCTCCACCAGGTAGAGAACTCTGACCTGCTGTGGGGTTGGCTGAGGGGGAGGAGACTTGGGACAGGAAGTGGAGGAAGGTGGTTCTGGTCAGTAACCAGCGCCTTCAGAGTTCACAGCTGTGCATGTCCTCTTGCTTGGGGTGTGTATGTGTGTGTGTTGAATGCAAGAGGTACTTGAGAATGTGACCTGGGGTATGGATGCTTGATGGCCGACACCTGGAGTATGTGTGGGGGTGCGTGAGTGGGCACACTGAGCTGAGAGGCTGAGCATATAAGGACAGTGTCACAGAGGATGGCACAGCAGAAATCGGAGAGACCATGTGTAGGGGCAGGGATGGCCACAGAGCAGGTTTTCTGATCCAGCAGACCAAGTAAAGGAGGAGTCAGAGTCCTCAGTGGCTTTTGTAGGTCTTTTATTGAGATTTACCAAGCATATGGCAGGCAGAGGTGCTGGGAGGCCGGGAGGCTGGCAGTCCTCCCAGCCCCCAGCAAATCTTTACTCTATCTGGGCTCTTTCTGGTGTTCTCTCTGCTTCTTCTGGAATCCCCGTTATGCCCACCCTTATAAACTCAGTCTCTCAGCCCAGGTATACCCACTTCAGGTGCCCCACCATCAAGCATGCTTTCAGGACCACAGGGTTCCCTCATCTATCCTAATGGCAGGAGGGCAGAAAGCCTGATGCTTTTTTACCTTACCCTACACCATGAGATAATATCAGAGAAAGACTAGAGAGCAAAGATTCACAGGGCCTGAGAGGCTTGCCAGCCTCCCTACCCTGTACCTGGGGTAAAATGGTGTAGAAAAATGGTGTAGAAAGATGATTAAAAGCCAGGAAAAGCCACTGAGGACTCCAGGACTCTCCTTTACCCATCTGTTCTGATACATAGAGAGCCTGCCCTGTGTCTTGCCTACAACCAGTTGGCTCTAATCTGTTGCTCATAGGTAACTTATCTGTTTTGGCGGTACTTAAATTGTGTTTGCTAAGGGATTCTAGTTCATTATGCAGAAGGTAAAGGATAAGCTTGCCATTTGTTACTTGTAACTAGATCTTAAACTTATCACCTATGGTACTTTTTCTATAACACCTTTTAAAATTCTCTCCCACACTTTTAAGAAATGTTTTATTTTACATGTTAATAGTAATTGTACCTAGTAGTTTTTTTACTTGGGCTAGCTTTAGTTCAAAGTGGTCATTGTTCATGTAATCTGGGTATAAAATTAAGCCAGGAGCTTTTGTTTAAACTACACTTTGGTTAGTCCAAGCATACTTTCCAGGATGCTTGCCTTGTTACAATTTATCTCCTCATATTTGTTGCCTATGAATTACTTGTATAATAGTGGCTTGAATATTTGAGAGTGATAGGTAGCATGTGTGTGCTTTATTGACTAATTCAATTAAGCACTCTGTACTACTAAATCCACCTTTATTCTTGAATTTTATACTTCCACCTAATAAAGTGTTCTTGATAGAAAACATAGCCCATATCTTCCCATCAGTATTGCCAACAAGGCACAGGACAGGTTTTCTATGGATCCGGGCAGACAGTTAAAGGAGTCCTGGAGCCCTCGGTGGATTTTTCAGGCTTTTAATGATCTTTGTACACACCATTCGTAGTGAGGAAACAAGGTGCAGGACTGGCAGGGGAGCCTGTGGCCAGGATGCTGGCGGCGAATTTTCATTCACTCTCCTGGTCTCTATTCTCTGCTGCACAGTCCTCTGCCCTGCCC